TCGGCAGTGGGACTGGTGGCCCCAGCCCGGGAACCCTGGGGAATACTGTGTGGTAGTGCAGCTGGCAGCAGCCAGGCTGTCCTGGCTGGGAACTCCAGGAGACTTTGGAGGAGCGGGATGGGGAGCCCATGCCAGGTCAGCCCTGCTTCAGCCAACAGCAGGGCAGGGAGCCCAAGGGAAAGGCACCCAGGACCAGAGCAGCCAACAGGAGAGCACTGACCTCCCCTTGTCTGGCAAATTCCCTGGTTTGAGACAGCTCAGATCCTGAGCGTGCTGGACCAGGGAGGTCCAACCTGTACTTATAAATAAGTCAGTGTCTCTATGAAATTTTGGTTTGTGGTGACTTTGCTAGTAGGAGTGTAAGGGATTAGTCAGTCAGCTGTCCAGTAAGCAGAAGCTTATCAGATAGTCGACTAGTGATGCAACTAGTCGCTCCCCCACCCTTGCTGCCTTTGTCAGAGAGGCAAGTGGAGCAGAGCAGGAGCCGGTGTTCGGGGGAGTCATCTTAAAAACCAGTTCCCCCCCCCAGCACCAGCTTCATGCAGGGCAGGGCAGGTAGAGGCGCAGCAGAAATGGCACAAGCAAGGACTGAAGCAGTGTCTGCTTGCACACTTTATGCTGTGATTCTGCTTTTGAAATGTACAAAAGCTGCAGGGCTCTCGTACATTTCAGAGGCTCAGGTGCCACAGGGAACATGGGGCCAAAGGGTCCCCCGCTGGTCCCATGCTCCCTGTGGGTTTTCTTTTGAAATGTACAAGATCCCCACTGGGGCTCTTGTACATTTCAAGGAAGTTCTGTGCTTCCTGCAGGACTTCTGATTTTAAACTGTAGGAAGAGCCTGGTAGGGCTCTTCCTACAGTTCAAAGGTAGAGCCCCCCATCAACTATTCAATTAGCTAATTAATCTAAATTTAACATCCCTGTTTGCTAGTGTTTTTATGTAACCTTTTTTAAAACTAACAAGTGTCTGATTTGATGTACCTAGTGGAAGAGCTCTATAAACCTCAGGGGAACACATATCTCTAGTTAAGAACAATTGATTTAGAAGATACACTTTGCTCAATTAAGTCAAATTGCTAAGCATCCTGTGCAATATTTTGAAAATTTTATTAGCTTATTGGTGACATTTAAAAGTGAAATTGGTGTACGTATTTTTTGTGTAACTATAAAGGGAGGGAGGGTGACTAACTAGTCAACTTACTTTTGGGCTGTAGACCACATAGTAGTAATATGGAAAATGTCTTTCTGTGTTGAAGTTTGTAGGAAATTAGAACTTAATCGAAGAGATGAGCTGTGATTTTGCAAGGACAAAAGTTTTATTTTTTTATTTTTATTTTTTTAGCACCACCAAGGGAGATGTAATTTGCTACTATGGAAACAAAGGAGAACCAGAACCTATCTTCCTAAATGCTGGTGGGTTTATTTTATAAAGTTGTAAATATTATTGTTGCCTTTTTTTAAAAAAGTGAACTGTGTGTTTACTTTAAGCTTCTAGTTACCAAGAGTGAAAATATGTGAATATGTATCTAAGTAATTGAATTATATGATACGTTCTGTTTTTGAAATTTTTATTTTAAATCCTTTTTGTGAAATTTTGTAAGTGGAGCATTAGTTAAGAAAAAGTTTGTGCTGTGGCCTAGTCCTATAGTTATCTCTATGCAGGTGGAGCCCTGTTGCAGAACCAGGATCTATGTATCCATGGGTGACATTTTTCAAAAGCACTCTGCATTGACTTCTTATAGAAATCAATGTTAAAACTCCCTCTGGAAGGAGAGTTTCTCTTACTGACATCAGCTGTCATCACTCACTATCAAAATTCACAGAGGGGTGGCCATGGTAGTTTGTAATTTTAAAAACTAGTAGTCTGTGATTCCTTAGAGACTAACAAATACGTATGTATGGTATCATGAGCTTTAGTAGGCAAAACTCACTTCTTCAGTTTGTAACATGCCACAGGACTCCTCGTTTCACTATTAAAATGTTGGCTCACACCTCCAATTGACCTATGATGCTAGCCTGCATTGCCCAATTATTAAATTTCTAACAAGCTGATACTTATATTTGAGAGGAACGAGTGCTGCATAAATATCCACTAAAGTATTATCCTCTAAATACCTTCTGTGCCATGTCTACCAAAAAAATGGCAATGATTCAGATGCTGGTGTACTGAGATCTCCACATATCACGCTGAACAATATTGTCTCCGTTTTTTTTATACTTTCCAGTTGGCCTGTCTTTGTCCATTTGTTGTCTGTTTTATAATTAGATTGTAAGCTATTTGGGGTAGGGATTTTTTGTTGTTTTTGTACAGCACCTTGCACAATGTGGCCCTATATCAGTGTTTCTTAAACTATGTTCCGTGGAACATTGGTGTTCCAAAACAACTCTCAGGTGTGCCACGACTACTTCTTTGTTTTTGTTACTTGTTTGTTTTTGACTTTGTCTTTTTTTGTGTGACGATTATTTTATTTATTTTTTTTTTTTTTTAAGAAAATGTTCATAGGTGTTCACATAAAAAAATACTATTGTTTGGTGTTCCGTGGTCTCAAAAAGTTTAAGAAACACTGCCCTAGATCATGACTAGAACTATAAAACACAGTTAATTCAAATACTAAGTTAACAGTTTTGAAAAAATTCCACTCTTATTTTAGCACCTTCAAAATTAATTATGTAATTGCCAATTCTCACATTTGTTCTTTTTTGCATCTTGGGCAATGGCACAACAATTATGTAATAGATAACATTTTTAGTTGAATTCTTAGGTGTGCTCACAGAACATGTACTCATCCTTGCACAAGCAAACATTACAAATGTAGATTGTAAGAACTTTGCTCTTGTTTTTGTTTAATATTGATGGCATCTTTTTTTGCCTTTCCTGAGGCTAATGGTTAAAAATTAAAATATTGCCAATAAGAAAATATTTAAAATGGGAATTATAATATAACTCCTTCAAAACAGCTGCTGCATGTTCTTGAACAGCAACAGAAAGACTGATAATTCCAAAATATTTTAAACTAAGATTTGAACAAATAAATTTGGTGCCCCATAAATCTTTCCCACTGCATGACCACAATCTGGTTTGATACAGCTCAGAATGTTTGGCATGCTCTGCTCAAGAGGAGCCCAAAACCTGATTAACAAAACAATTGCAGGCTAGGATTTAGGAAAAGCTTCTGCAGCACCTGCATTTGCTATGCGTCAAACCACTGCCTTTCAGCAGCACTAAATTTAATCACTGATCATAATAAAATTCTCAGGTAGGGTGCTTTTTGTGGAGAGCATTGTTAATCCTGAATAATGTGAATGTTATGTGCAATGTGGAGGTGATAGGCATGGTCTCCAGTGACTGTTTTTGCTGCATTCTGTGTAACTCTTCTTTATCAATCTCTGGCGCGCTCTTCCAAATGAAAGTTCGAGTGTTAGTGGCACCTGTTTAAAGTGAAAAGTTAATGGACTGAACAAAAGCAACCCAGGATGTTAGCATGGGTAAAGTGGGTATATTTAATCCCCTCCATTACTTTGATAAACAGCTTTCGAATATGGGGTAAACTGCTAGTAACAATAGTGTGGACTACACATTTTTAATAGTGTCTTTTGTATGCCTTAATATTTTTCTGAAAAACTAGCAACTTCATTCATGCAGCATTTTCTTAACAAAACTGCACTACAAAACCCAGGTGTTTGCAGAGTCCTGATTTCCACATATAAACAAAGTGTTCATTCCCTGAAGATCTGGCCTCCTAAGAGAAAGCTGAGTTTTGGAAGACCTTTACGTTGTTAAGCCAGTGCTTATGCTCTTGGATTGTTGCCAGGAAATGTAGAGTTCCACTGAAGAGAGACATTCTTGCTGTCATCAATGCGTGGTATTATTCAAAAGTCATATGGGAGAGAAAAATGAATTAACTGGAGACTAGATTGAAAAATGTATTCAGTAATTCTAAAGATACCATTCCATAAATTACCAAACCAAAGGTTTATAGTAATTGCAGATATGGAGTAGAATAAAACTGAGAAACAAATAAAATCACTTCATGTGGAATACATAACTGTGCTCTAATGTGTGCTAGCAGGATTCCAATCTCCTGCATAGTAGCAGGACATATGTTTTATAGCTTATCTAATAATAAAGATTAGCTAGGGGATCATTTAAATGAGATAAAAACTGATGAAATCTGTATGTGATGATTGTAAATCACCAGAAAATCCTTTCTAAGTTTCTGTTCTGAAAATATGCTAGTAGCTATATAGAGAGAAAGCAGCTGGAAGTGATCCATAGGGATTGTTCTGTGAATGCATGAGACTTTAAAATCTGAAACATTTATCAGATTCCTTGTACCATTTATTTGATCGAGTTCCAAACTGAAAGTATTATTGGTTTTATTTTTGTGAAGTAACTGCAGTGTCACAATTAAAAGGGTTTTTTTTCAGTTTCAGATTATATAGTATACCAGAGTTTCCCAAATGATGTTCCGCGGAACCCCGGGGTTCCACAAAGTAAAAATAAGGGTTCCGCAAGAAAATTCCGTTACAATAACATTTTATGATTTAAAAAATCATAATTAATATTTAAGCATGTATGTATTTTATTGAAAACAATTTTCATTTGTGTTTGCCATGGTAAGTGTCTCTGTGTAACTCCAGCTTAGCCAGAGAGTGGGAGCAATGGTATGATCTACTTTTTCAACTCTATAGATAAGACTGTTATTAGGGGTTCTGCAAAATTCTTTCAAGTTTAAAAGGGTTTCGTGGCTGTGACGGCGCGTTGGGGGTCCCCCGTCTCCTGCACCCCGAAATGGCACAAACAGACCGCCCCAGCCGGTGGAATAGAGGAAGTTTATTGCCTCTCCAGGATACAGCACAGATGTAATCTGGTCCCAGAGCTGGGCTAGGATGCCTCAGGCCCCCTTGAGTTGGGGGGAGACTGGGCCCCTAACCTCCAGCCCCTCTCCCTAGGCTGTCTCCTCCATGCTCACAGACAGCAACTAACCACCTCTCTTCCAGCTCTGCCCCCCAGCCAGGGCAGCATTCCACCTTCCTTTGTTCCTCTCCATGGGGGGGTGTCTGGCCATACTGGTTTGCATAGTGACTCATCCTGTTTTGCTGGGTCGTGGTACCCCTGGCAGCCAGTGGGGGTTACCCCAGAGCCAGCAGCATAGAAACCAGCCAGGTACCCCCACTACGTCACAGTGGCCAAATAAAATTGGGAAACACTGTAGTGTACTAATACTTTCAATACAATGTCTTCTCCCTGAAAAAAACTTTTATTGAAATTACACCTGATTTAACAACTCAATCTACAGTTTATTAATAGCTGTGGCAAAAACCTGTGATTCAGTTAATATTGAGTCCCCTTAGTGTGATGATCCATAGCTTATTTTTAGTAAAACTGATAGGCTAAAATTTTTGTTCCAAAACAAAGAGAAATTGGCATTTTATGAAGAGTTTGGAAATGAGACTGTACCCTAACTGATTTCTTTATTAGAATACTACCTTTGCCACAAGTTAATGCCTTTTACTGTTTTGGAGGCAGACATGGGGATGTGGGCAGGAGGGAATGGAATAAATGCTAAAAATAAGCACATTTTCCTGAGAAAAGATAACAAAAGATTTATGATGCATTTTGCTGACAAGGCTTGATTTATTTTCTCCTTCAGACCATGAAGGATGAGGCAATTTTATATTTTTTGGCTGTGTTGCATATATGTTTACTTTTTCACTCAATAGAAATGCTTAATAGAAACATTTTCTTACCTGCCCCAATGTTATTTTTTTAAATGTATGTATTTATTCATTCATTCATTCATCCAGGAATCTACGGATTGAGTAATTGTCTGTTGGATACCCCATGGAAGAAACTTCAATATGGAAAGCAGCTTTTCACAGAAGTGATCAAGCAAAGTCAGGACCTTGCCAATGAAGATCTGGTGCAGGAGCTCATTAAAGTGCTGAATAATCAAGACCCGTAAGAAAGTAACTTACACTTTATTTAATATGAAGTGCAAACATTTTAAAACTCAGTTACAAAAGCTGTGTTAAGCTAATGATAAAGCTTCAGCTTATATTAACCAAAGCCAAGAAATTGGAAGGTAAAGGTAAAATAATATATTTCCATTCTCTCCTAATCAATTTTGGGGTGAGGGGTGAGGCAGGTACAGACGTACATTATCAATGCAAAAGTGGCATTGTTGTCAACCTGTGTTTGACTTACCAGTACCTTACTCCTTAAAGATTATTCCTGCCAGGATAGGAGCAGAGCATGCAAGATATTAAATGGCTAGGTCACGATAAACTTAAACATACTTTCCATAATTTCTGACCTCAGACAGTGCCCTAGCTCAACTATAGATTTGGGTGGCTCAGGTCAGGAATTAGTAGTGGCACTTTTTGGTTGCTTCTCATGACAAACGTGGTAAATGTACCTGATTGGCCTACAGTATATGAGTTTGCATAAAATACTAGACCCAGCTCTTCAAGAGGACAATTGCAGTTATCCTGCACAAACTCCTTACCTCCACTTGACTAGCATGTGCATTTTGTTAAATACAAACTTAAATTTCTCTGCCGCTTGTCAGCTTAATGTGGTTAAAAAGAAAATAAGTTGTATTTACATGGTATTTTTAAAGCTTCAAAAGAAGTGAAAAATTTCTCATTACACGATTAGGGCTTTAAAAACGGAACTTATGAGTGTTAATTTGTGCACTCGTTCCACTATTTTTAAGTTCCCTTTTTACTATTCATTTGACGTTACAGTACTAATAAAAAAACACTGTGCGTCAAAAAAGTTGCTGTGCTTTGCTATTTATTTAGCAGAAAGACAGCCAGGCATGGGGTACTGCACAACTCAAATGCACGTGAATCTAAGATGTTGCAATTGTGCTAATAGACACCTATGAGTATAACTTTGGTAGCAAAAGGGGAGGATATTAAAAGTAACTTCAAAGTTCAAAACTTGAAAATAAATGGCTGAGATTTTTTCAAAGTAGTGTATGGGATTTAAGAATTAAAGATATCTTTCATATGAAATATTTGGCACTTCATAAACATTAGTTCTGTGAGCTGACTAATAGGCTTTTTGGGCGAGATTTAATTCCCAGAACTAACCCAATTCAGGATCTATTTCCCTGTTTGTAGCAGGCATGGTGTCCTCTAAACACCTCCCTTTTTTCTTCCCACTTGTGTACACAATCTGTTTAGGCTCATTTTTTGGGGGGGGAAAATAGTACAATCCGGAACAATGTGCTTCAGTAATTAATAGGTGTAACTAAACTTTATCTTCAAACTGCATCATCTCTTTGTGCAGCAGGAAAAACTCTAGAAAAGAGGACCAAATGAGTTAGTATCTTTCTACCCTCATCTTTGGTGCCCCAAGTGCCTAAATGGCTGCTGAGTTTTGTCTTATTTTGATAGAAACTGGCACAAGTTGGCTTATGGTAGGAGGCAGAAACTTGAATAGTAATGGGAATGAAAGAGGCAAAGGACCACATACGGGCAAAGGGGGGAGGAAATAGTATTTTTAAAATTTGTCTTTCCAGATCTCTGTTGGATTAGTCAGTTATTGCACTTCACCGTGAAGTTCTCCTTCTAAATACCTTCCAGATTCAATGATGATGGTATCCATCAATTTCTAATTTTTTTGCCACCTAACACAAGATCATTTTGTGCTGCCAACAATTACATCAGTGCTATACATGGCAAACTTGTTTACTTTGGACATTTATTAAGCATTGTGCAGTATAATTTTCCAGCTAAACCATGTGGTTCTTGAAGATTGCAGACAAGATTCTGTCTAAAACAAGTTATTCCCATGAGTCCATCTTGAACAATATTTGTTCTTATACTTTGTATTTTAAGTTACGTGACAATAAAGGTGTTCTTTTATTTCAGGAGACACTACATAAATACAGAAAGAAAGTAATAGCAACGAAAGGAAAAAAGACTGTTAAAACATCATTAAAATATTTAATAAATAAGAAGCTGATAAAATGAAAGTGCAAGTCCTTAAATTTTCTCTTAGACACAACTGACAAACCTTTTTGTCTTTGGTCCCTTATTTCCATATTTCTTTTAAAAATAACATTTATTTTGACATTTTGCCTTTATCATTAACCAGCTGTGTGATGATTATAGTTAGAAAGTGTAGGTAGGTTTGTTTTGGATTAATACTGGGCAAGTAAAAGAGGTATTTATTTTTCAGTCAACTACCAGACCCTGCAATTGAGGATCAAGGAAAGGAGTATGTACTGCCTATACTGAACAAATATGCTGCTGTTTGTGTTCGTTGCCCAGGCTATGGAACAAGGTAAAAATAAATACTTCAAGGTAAAATACATATCGTGATACAATAGTTGTCTGTCTGAAGTCAAATGCTGCCAAAAATCATTCTAGGCCATAAAGCTGGTTTGTTTAGTAAATTCATGCCTTGGTATTAGTTACTGGTAATTCAGTAAAATATCTTCTGTTGTGATCTTTTTTTATTCTCTAGTTTTGTATCTTAGACTTTGCTTTGTCCATCATTACCTGTTTTACAATTTGTCAGACACTTACTAATAATTGTAACTTCTTTAAAGTTAAGTAGTTTAACCCTTTCAGAAATGCTGTTCTTACTATTCACCTCTTCCTATTCAGAATGCCAGTTTCAGAATGTTTATTGTATTCGCCCCATAAAAGTTCATTAGATCAAAAAATCACACTGGCCCTCTTGGCACAAGTGTGCACATATAAACAATTTACTTCCACAATTACTTCTAAGTACATGAAAATTCTATACTTGACATTGCAGCCTACAGCAAAATTTTGCATGCATCAGCATCTCATTTGCCTCTTTCCTCCTCTTCTCATTAGTCCTTAGAGAAACCAGATAAAACTTAAAATCTCCTAAAGGTTACCAAATCCAGACTTTGGGTCCATGTCTAGAATACGCTGGAGTATTTTTGCCAATCCTATTGTTGAACATAGCAGGGAGAAGGAGGTACTATTCTATCACTAGGGAGTCTGTTGCTATCTAGGACACCTGTTGCTGTCATGTGTAACCACATTCTGACATTTTTTTAAATTTGGAGCTCAATTTTAGTTTTTCCTTACTTTTTTCATCCTTCCTTTTTCCTTTGTATTTTCACATATTCCCTTATTGTACCTTTATTTTAACTTTTTAATTTGCCTTTTTGGCACCTGAATGTGACCGACTATAAAGGGAAACTGATTTAGGGTTATTCAGTTTTCTTCTGCATTAAACATTTTATATTTTTATAGTTAGCTGTAAAGGAATCTGACAATGATCATTCAGTTTTGCTTCGTAGCCATTCAGCTGGACTTATCACTAGATCTGAGTGAATATTTGATTTTCTTTTTTCAACTTTGTGGCCATACCAAGAAATATTGGGGAGACTCATTTCAGATTGACCTAATAGTGAAATTATTTAAATAAATCATTTAACCAAAAAAAATCATTTTTGTTTTTGGGTATTTTTACCATTTTTTTTTTGCAAGTAATTGCAGTAAACACAGAACTGTATTTTTGGGCACATAAACTACTGAACAGAAAGATTTCTCCCAGCTCTGTTTATCTCAGTTTGGTCTGCTGCTCCTCTGTTCACCTCCATGAGCCAGCATATGAGCAAAGTGACAGATCTGCTAGCAAGTGATGAGTTATATTACACCTTAGAAAGTATTAGTACATTATACTGACCTGCTTCAAGTTTTGATTCCAAACATGAAGTAAACAGCCTTGCATGGAAGGATGCAAACCTTTTTGTCTCTTCTACTTAAGTGGAGAAAATACAGTTTTATTTTTATGAAGGTAATTTTTATTTCAGATTTCTTTAAAAAGGGATTGTTAAAATGTTTCCATTTAATTTTTGTCAGTAATTTTTAAAAAATGAGAATTTCCTCAGTGTATTTTTCTTCATTCCTATAAACTCTTATCTGCCCAGCCAGATCCAGGAATGCAAGAAACTGTGGACTTTCCCTTGCTCTCTGACAGTGACTAAGGGGAGCAGCCAGCACTGTCCCTGCACAAATTTGGGAGGCGTAGCTTCAGCTCCCCCTGCCCAATTTCTCCAAAGTGCACCAGAGGATGGGAGGTTTGGGGTTGGGGCAGTCCCAGAGGAGAGGCACCCCCCAGCTAGTCCCTTTCACCTCCCTCGTCATTCTGTCACTTCTATGTATCACTTTGAGAATCCATTCCATTCCAGGTACATCCCATTTTCCTGGCACAACCAAACTCTTACGTTCTTCTAAGGGTACGTCTATACTTGCTCCCTAGTTCGAGTTAGGAATGCAAATTAATAAAGCGGGGATTTAAATATCCCAAGCTTCATTAGCATGATCTCGCCAACATGTTACTCTGCTCAACAGCTGATTTGAACCAGGAAGTGCACACTGGGACGCGTTAGTTTGAACCAAACCCCTGGATTTGGTTCAAACTAACATTACTCATTTTTGAGGAGTAATATTAGTTTGAATCAAGGGGTTTGGTTCAAACTAACACGTCCCAGCGCACACTTCCTGGTTCGAATCAGCTGTTGAGCGGAGTAATGCGCCGGTGAGATCATGCTAATGAAGCGCGGGAGATTTAAATCCCCCGCGCTTCATTGGCAATTTCAGTCACCTACATTTGCATCCCTTGCTCGAACTAGGGAGCAAGTGTAGATGTTCCCTAAGTTAGGATAAGAGGAAGCTGTATGCCAAATTTGGTGGTGCTAGTTCTTACCCTTTAGGAGGAGTTCTTGAATAGACACAGACAAATGCTCTAAATTATAGATTTATTGTGGTGAGATATCTGTAATAACTAGAAGCCGTGTTCACAGATTAAGAATTATTATGATCAATGGAATCCTTCTCCTAATTGTGCTCACTTTCCTAAGTGAGGTATATGCACTTTCTCTCCCAAAAAGAAAGCAATAAATGTTGTGAATCAGTTATTGTAATGAAAAGGCTTGCATAATATGTATCTGGCACTCTAACCTGAAGCTGGCATGGTTATGGCTCAGCTTATTTCTGGCCGCAGAGAATTCCTTAGCTATGGGTCTACCAGGGAAAATAAACTGGCTACCCAATCACTGGCTCCATCAGTTATAGCTGTCTTAGGGTATGTCTACACAGCAGGGCTAAAGTCAAATTAAGCTACGCAACTTCAGCTTCGTCAATTGTGTAGCGGAAGTTAAATAGCTTAACTCAGCTCTCTACATAGCAGAAAGTCAAAGGACGAACTCTTCCTTTTACTTTCCTTACTACTCATTAAATGAAGGAGTTGGAGTGAGAAGTCCGCCAGCTTGACACATTTGAAATAAAGACTTGTAGTACAGACATGCACTATGTTATTTTGGAATAACTGTCAGTATTTCCTGCTGTGTAGATGTACCCTTAGTGGATAAATAAATGAGAAGTAATAAATGAAATGGTTGGTCCTCATTTTGCTAGGGGATTTAAAGTATAACATTGGAACCTTTAAAGAGATTTGGAGAGAACTCACTGAGAAGGTGTAGCAAAATGCAGAGCATAGCTTTCATATGTAATAAAATACATGAAGTAGCATTTATTTATGTACTGGTACTGAAGTTCTAAAGAAATACATGAAGGGAGATACTTGGGTTTTGTGTTTCACTGGTTGTATTTCACCAATTTTAAGGAAAGAAGTAATGTCATTGTACATTCGTTAACTAAATATTTAGACATAGTTTTGAGCTATTCTTAATATATTAGTCACTTTAAGCCAAGTCTACACTACAAGATAAGGTTGAATTTATTAAGGTCTACTTTTTAGCACCTGATTTTGTTAAGTCAAAGGGGAACATCCCCACTGTGCATAAGAATTTGATGAAGTTCAAAGTTATGCATCCCCAGTAAAATAGCTACTGTCGACTGAGTGTGATGCACCATTGAGTAGCACTGATCTCGAGCATCTGTTCACCTCCTTTGTCTTCTGGTATGACTTCCTCAGCTCCTTTAATTTCACATGGCACTGCTGGACATCCCTGGTGCATCCTTTCTCCTCCATGCCTTTTGTGATCTTGGCATAGATATCTGCATTTCTTTTGCTGGTTCGTAGTTCTGAAAGAACAGATTCTTCTCCCCACACAAAAGTGAGGACCAGATTGTCCTGCATGCTCCATGCTGGTGCTTGTCTGTGGCCCTGGGCATTCATGTTCAGGTGTATTGTGCTGAGATGTGTCACCTGCTCTCAGGTCTGCTCATCACACTGGGCACACAGGAAATAAAATTCAGATTTTCCCAGGGCTTTTCCTCTTACCTGGAGAGCAATAAAGTTGAATGTCCTTATTGGAGTAGTCACATCAGGGCACTGTGGGACACCTCCTGGAGGCCAACAACTCTACTTTCACAGCACTGCATCTGCACTATGCATGGGCGGTTGATGCAGCTGAGACTGAAGAAGGCAGGCTCCCAGCCCAACTACAGCCTCCCCCCTTTGCTGAGGCCCTGCCCCCATTGGGAGGGGAGGAGGCAGAGCAGAGTGCCAAGTGCTCCCAGTCTCTCCAGAGCACCAGGGGAGGGGTGGAGAAGTGGGGCAGCGCACCAAGCATGTCCCAGCCTCCCTGGAGCACCACGAAGGGAAAAAGAGGAAAGGAGAGTGTGCGCACAGCACATCTATCGGAGCAGTAGGGGAGGAGAGGAGGTGGTTCCCTTCTCCCCAGCCAGGAACTCAGGGAGGGCAAGCACTGGGAGCAACAACACTCTGCCCCCCAGAACACCTATAGTAGGTACTCTGGGGTTATAGTGTGGGCATGGCCAGGCTGGTGATTTGGGAAAGGAGAGCCAGCTCATGGCACTACCGTAACGTTGACCATGCAAGGTCAAATTTAAGAGCCCTTAAAGTCAACGGAATGGGGTTGGTGGTGTGGACTCATTGTTTAGAAATTCAACCTAACGTGGTTAAGTTCAACATAAACTCCCAGTGTAGACCAAGCCTTGATTCACCATGCCAGGTCTAGTATTTCCAACTCTGAATATAAGACAACATAAGTCCAATAACATTTTCTGGCTTTTATCCCAAACACTCAGATTATCTGGCATGAATATATGAGAGGCATTTTCATCATTGGTGGAACTATTGTTCACATATGTTGAGAAGTTGCTGCTGATGTAGTGCATGACCATTACAGTATCTCAACACATCACTGGCATTAGGACAGAACATAGGGAGTCATCCATTCACTATGAAGGGTTCTGATTCTGGGAGTCAAAGTGGAATAAATCCCCAGTATAAGACAGCGTAGGAAGAGTATAGTAAACATCTAAGCAGAACTAGTCTAGACTATGTTTTTACCTTTGCTGTTTCTTTGTTTAGAACTTCAGTTATAAATAATACTGCACATGTCTTCTCATCCAGTAATTTCTATGCTCTTTATAAATATTTGGCCTCATCCCACTCAAGTAAATGTACCCATTTCGCAGATGGGTGAGCAGAAGTGCTTTGACCAATGCGACAGAATTAGTAGTAGCATTAGGGATGGAACTGAGAATTGTGGACTGCCAGTCCTTTAAGTGAGCCAGTAGACTAAATTGCTGTGTGACAATACAATTAATGTAAAACTGAGGTCAATTTGGATTTGAAATAAGGGACAAATAACAAGTACATCGATATTTCTGAACATCTGTGATTTACAGCTGGGCTAATTAGAACTAAAACCATAGCTAGAGAGGACAAGTTCTCACACCTCACAAAGCCTTATTTTTTTTCAGTGTAAATCAGAAGTAGTTGCACTAAAGTCAGTGGAGTTACTTTTAGCAGTTTTGTATCAATCTGTGAGGGGACTTGCATCTCAGTGTTTAGAAATTGCTCTTCAAGATAATATACCCTTAGGGAGAGTAAATGTGAAGTTCTTGTATGACCTTGCATCTGTGTCCTCAGGTGGTAATTTGTATATTCTGGGCTGCAAAGCTGAGGAGATTTTTATTAGCATTTTGTATCAAAGGGAAGAATGCAGACATGAGTTAATATAAATCAACAAGGATGTGTGTCTGATAATATTCATGCTAACTAAATGCTGTCAGGTAAAATTCATTTCCAGGCTAGAACTGACTTTAATATATTCAGCAATTAAAAAGCTTATTGTTAGTTTCTCTGCTATTTATTGTTCTTCTTATCCGTCAGCCTGAACCTTTGTGTGGTTTTTCCTTTAAGTGCAGCCATGAAGCAAGATAGTACAGAGTTTCATTCAGTGTAATGCAGCGGGGGAGGGGAATTCAAGTGAGTCCTTCGAATCTGATTTTATTGGTGTTTTTTTAGACCTATTTTTCTGTGATGCTACTTTAGTCTAAAATAGTAAAATAGTATTGTGCAAATAATTAGGCAAAAATGAAGTTTAAAATGTCTTCTTCCCTTGTTTTCTTTCAGGACTAACACAGTCCTTCTCATTGATGCAGAAGGACGTGTTACTTTCACAGAGCGCACCATGCTCAATGCAGATATCAACAAATGGAAAACAAGCACCTATCAGTTCAAACTGCAGACTTAACAACTTTCCATTTGAATGGATCGTGATAAAAAAAAACACAAGAAAAAGCCATTAAACTCCACTGAAGGCTTTGTACCAGCCTCCAAAACCCAGAAATGGCAAGAAAAAGCTTATTAAATCCATAGCATACGCCAGCAACTACCAAAACCTTTTGCACAAAACTAAGGAAAGAAAGTAACATTTTGGTTGGATTAAAAAGCATTGCTTCTTGTACAAATATTTGTTTTAAATATAAGGGACACAGTTTATTTTCTGGACACAATTTTTAAACTAAATTGCTAATATGCAGGGGATAGATATTCAAGGTATTGAGTGCTTCTTACACGGTGCTAAATACCTCAACTCTCTTTTTATTTCAGTCAGAGCTAAAGACATGCAGTACCTTGGAACTTAAAGTCCTATATTATTAAAGTTCAGAGATTTTCAGAATCTGACTTAAACCTTTAGAATGAATAATGATAACTTTTTGTACTTCACTCAATTTGAACAAAGACAAACTAGTCAGATACATTTGTTCATAGTTGATTTTTAGTCACTTTGTGAATTGGCCCAACTATGTAATATGACTTCTGGAAATGATCCCCAGGAATGGTGGTGATGTAAATCATAAAAAAAATACAATTCTATAAAACAAAACATATCTATTGATTTTTAGGCCAAAATAGTTTTAGAAAATGTCTGTCTTTTCAACATATGCTTATAAGGTTTTTTGGGCATTGATGGATGTAAGTTATGTTTGCAACATTGGTTGTTTCAGTGTAATTATAATATTTTTTTTCAGAAATATACAGTGGAGCAGTGTTCTGCATAGGGAAAAGGGCTGTTATTCTTCACAAGTCTATTTTCCCTAAAACAGTACTGTGTTGAGTAAACAGATGATACAAGCTAAATCATTCTCATTTGTACCCAGTACCTGCTTCTGATGAGGGAATGAAACTGAAGTTTGGCTCTGTGATCTGTAATCTCTTGCTCAGGAGAGATTAAAGCATCATAGAGTGTCATGGGATCCCTCTGATGGGAAGGAATCAGCTGCTCTGTTTGGTGGCACATTATTTGTTGACATACAGTCTAACCAGCAATGTAGGCCTCTTTTCTACTTCTAGATTGATAACTAGTAGGATATGTTTGCAAACAGAAAGTGATCTATATGAATTTATACTTACACTTTTTGTAAGTTTTGGTATTAGCTTTATTTCTGTACTGGTAATAATGTGTTAAAAGCTGGGAGTGAAAGCAGTTATTGGTTATATGGTGACATTATTGCAGTATGATAGTGGTGGGAAATCAGGTGTTAAAAAACTTTCCATGTTCCTTTTAGCTGTAAATTATGAAGTTGGTTATTTAAATCCATGTTTTCTTTCCATAAGCCAATATCAATGATGCATGATAGAGAGAATCTCTTGCTAATGTCAAAGTATTTTAAAATCCTAGATTATTTTTGCTACCACTTTAATTGCAATTTAACTTACTCCAAATGCCAAACCTTGACTCATTTATTAATTGAGTGTGATGTTCAGAGAACTATAGATTCAGAGAACTGTGGAAAAGATTGCAACTGTAACAGTATTTCCTGAATTGTCCATGGAGAGATTCAGCCGTTTTCTCTACTCAGAGCCTATATTTAGTATTGAAATGCTTAGCGGAAATGGCGGCCTTTTAGGGTGCAGTGTGTGTATGACTGGAAACCGTAATTCTTACTGGGGTTACAATAGAACTGCAAATGGTTAATTCCAGAATAAAGACTATACAAACAAAAATCATATTAATCCCTCTTGTAATTATTTTAGATAAGTTTTGACTGTTTAAATATTTCTAACAATGCCAGATCAGCTCTGATGTGCTTGGCTGAGCATGTGTTTCAGTGCTTTGCTTGATCAGGGCCACACTGTAATAAGTAAGTGCACCTTCTGATGAATTTTAAGTACCACACTGTTTCTGCAATTATACCTGTTTGTGTGTCATGCACTTAGATTGTTGGCAGTGAACTTCATTTTGGGGTAAGTGGGAGGAGAAACTAATAGATTTTTCTTCTCTTGAGCTATGGGGGGAGTTTACTATTTCTTTACGTAACTATTTATTCTCAATTAAATTAAAACCTTTTGGAGGACATGTGTTTTAATATACATATAAACTACAAAGTAATCTGCTGTACTTGCAAACATAGTGAATATAAACACAAGCAAAAAAGTCCATAATCAGTAATACACGCAATTACTTTATAATTTAAAATTAATAGTTAAAAATGTCTCGTTCGAATATTCAATAACAGTCCGTTTTTATTCCTAATGTTCAAGAATTCTGATTTAGTCCTCTCCATTTTGGTTGAGCCTTGAACCTCTAGGCTTTGTTCAACATAGTACTAAAATACTATTTTCAAAATATGAGATTGATAACTGGCAAGTATGTATGTAACTGATCATTCACCATCTGTTTATCTATGTCAGAAACACTACCAAAGTATGAATGGCCAAAATTTGATATACATTTAAACTTGTTACCTACATGGAAAGTGGAAATACTTGCAATTGCTTTTCATCCTCAAAATATTTTACCAATACCAGTCTTCAAAACAGTCCTTTGAGGTCGGTGAGTATTAAAGTAAAGTATTAGCCCACTTTGAGGTTTATTGATAGGGAAATTATAAATGTATTTATTTAAGGTTTATTGATAGGGAAATTATCTCCCTACCCAGAGACAGATTGTTAGTGTCAGAGATTGGATTCAAAAATCTTAACTCCCTTACCTGTAATTTAAATCAGTCTCTTGACATCTGGGTTTTGTATTCAGTTTATCCAACTTCTAATTGGGGAGAGTTGAAACCAAAAAAATCACACATTGCTTTAGGAGAACTCCACAAGATATTCAGAGTTCCTCTGCTAGGTTAATACAGTGATCCTTCCTTATTCTTCTTGAATTTTTATGGAAATTTTGCCCTTGGCTTTGGTGGAAACAGCATCAGGCCCCCTATTCACAGAGCTGCATTAATATCAGCAACAGTGCTCAAGTACAGAAATGTTCAGGTATTATTAACTGCATAAGTTTGTGTTCATTGAGGAGTGCTAATTTTAGTTGTTTTCAATCACTGGAAAAGTCAACTGTAACCAAATGACAAGACCAAATTGACAGAGAACACATTTTATTTTATAAGATATTTTAAAGAGACTATAAATGTAAAACTACAAATCAGATTATTGGATGACATGCTTTTAGGTTTCCTGCTGTGAAATTAATCTGTGTGGGGTATTTATTTAAAGTCTTAGGGTTACCGAAGCTTTCTCCTTCCAGTTTTCTTCCACTGTGATGATTAGAATTTTTAAATACTATTTATGCTTCTTGAGTCCATTTTTTCCCTTTTTAAGCTTTTTTTAAATGTTGTCATTTGTATATCTGTATGCAAAGTCCGAATAAATTGGTGACCAAATCTTTGCCAGCCTAATAACTGTGTGTTTTGTACTGTGTGCACATGATGGGTTAGAATAAAGAAACACTCAGTAATTTTATAGGGAGTAGAAATAAAAGATATGTGTAGAATTACATCAGTTTCCAACAAGGTTTTTTTCTTCTTAGAATGGCTTTTTCAAAACTGCTTGGCGTTGGCCTCACAGAATGACTAGTAGGTTCACTTTAGCATGAAAGAATAGGGGGAAAGTTGTGGTCACATGCTGATGTTTGACTGCATAGGCATACTTTTTTCAATACATTTCTCTGTGGATTGTGGGAATAAGTACTCAAAATGCACAAATTCTCTTGGAAATAGAGCAGAAATGCATATTGTTTGAGTAAATGAACAGATTACAAGAGTAATTAACTGAGTGGATTTCTCAGAATTCATACTAGCCCTGTGCCACACTTTTTGCCAATATCTTTCTTCTAAGCAGCTGACTGTTCTCAGAAGCTTTAACTATTGGTACTCTATGCACAGCAAGACCAGGTGGAAAATGTGAAGACTCTAACAACCCATGTTTATCTCCCTGCCTGTCACAACCTCTGGTTCTTCTTAAATTCTTCAAGGAGGCATTGGGAACATAATTACTATGCCTTGTATAGATATGTAGGGAAGTCAGAAGTGCTTGCTTTTGTATTTTCCTGTTGGTTTGCTGTCAACCCATGGACTTGAGTTTGGATTTTTTATTTTTTTTTGGTCCAGCACTGTCTCTTAGAATCCCCACTTTTACCCTAACTGTCTTTTGTGCCTCACATCTAAGAGCATAAAGGGAAGGACAACTCCATGCATTCATCAATTCCTTTTCTCTACCTGTGGTAGAAATGTAGCCGTGTTAGTCTGGGGTAGTTGAAGCAAAATGCAGGACAATGTAGCACTTTAAAGACTAACAAGATGGTTTATTAGATGATGAGCTTTCGTGGGCCAGACCCACTTCCTCAGATCAAATAGTGGAAGAAAGTAGTCACAACCATATATACCAAAGGATACAATTAAAAAAAAGAACAAATATGAAAAGGACAAATCACATTGCAGAACAGAAGGAGGAGGCGGGGGGGTGGGAAGGGGGAGGAAGGAAGGTAAGTGTCTGTGAATTGATGATATTAGAGGTAGGGAGAGTGGGATGTTTGTGAGTTAATGGTATTACAGGTGATAATTGGGGAAACTGTCTTGATAATGGGTGAGAAAGTTCAAAGACTTGTTAAGTCCCTGGTGGTAAGTGTCGAATTTTAACATGAATGACAGTTCAGAGGATTCCCTTTCAAGTGCAGATGTAAAAGGTCTTTGTAGCAGAATGCAGGTGGCTAAGTCATTTAGAGAGTGTCCTTTCTGGTTAAAGTGGCAAGAAACTGTTTTCTCTTTGTGATCTTGTCTGATATCTGTTTTGTGGGCATTAATCCTTTGGCGAAGTGTCTGAGATGTTTGTCCAATGTACATAGCAGACGGACACTTTCGGCACATGATAGCGTAGATTATATTTCTGGATGCGCAGGAATATGTGTTCTTGATCTTATAACTCACTTGGTTAGGTCCAATAATGGTATCAGCAGAATGAATATGTGGACAAAGCTGGCAACGGGGTTTGTTGCAAGGGAAGGTACCAGGGTTGGTATTAGTGTGGTATGTCCTGTGGTGGTTGGTAAGAATCATCTTGAGGTTAGGTGGTTGTCTATAGGAGACTATGGGTCTGTCTCCCAGAGCCTCTTTGAGTATGGTATCCTGTTCCAATATAGGCTGTAGTTTATTGATAATGTGTTGGACAGGTTTAAGTTGGGGGTTGTAGGTGATGACAAGTGGTGTTCTATTGTTGGTTTTCTTGGGTCTGTCTTGAAGTAGATGGTTTCTAGGTATTCGTCTGGCTCTTTCAATTTGCTTTTTTGTTTCTCTGGGTGGGTAGTTGAGATTTATAAATGCTTGGTAGAGATCCTGAAGCTTCTGGTCTCTGTCAGTGGGGTTAGAGCAGATGCGGTTGTATCGAAGGGCTTGGCTATAGACGATGGATCGTGTGGTGTGTTCTGGATGGGAGCTGGATGCATGTAGGTAACTGTATGAGTCAGTGGGTTTTCTGTAGAGAGTGGTGTCTAATTTTCCATTGTTGATTTGTACGGTGGTGTCCAGGAAGTGGATCTCTCGTGTAGAATGGTCCAGGCTGAGGTTGATGGTGGGGTGTAGGTTGTTGAAATCTCTGTGGAATATCTCCAGTGTTTCTTGGCCATGTGTCCAGATCATAAAGATGTCATCGATGTACCGTAGGTAGAGGAGGGGTGAAAGGGGACGGGAGTTGAGGAAACGTTGTTCTAGGTCAGCCATAAAGATGTTAGCATACTGTGGGGCCATGCGTGTACCCATGGCTGTGCCGCTGATCTGGAGGTATAAGTTGTTCTCAAACCGGAAATAATTGTGGGTGAGAACAAAGTTACATAGGTCTGCTATCAGGTTGGCAGTAGTGTCCTCTGGGATAGTGTTTCTAATTGCTTGTAATCCGTCTTCATGTGGGATGTTGGTAGAAAGCTCATCATCTAATAAACCATCTTGTTAGTCTTTAAAGTGCTACATTGTCCTGCATTTTGCTTCAGCTACCCCATACTAACACGGCTACATTTCTCTCAACTGTTACAATAGAATCCTAATTTTGTTCAATTTGGTGGCATGCTAAAGGAGAGACAGAGTTCCCACATAAACCCATGATTAATATGCAATCAAGAAGCATTATTTGACCAATTATCAAGCCACTCAGGTAACTTCTAAAGCATTTTTGAGACCCACCTTATTAACTGATCTAAGGTGTCACTAACTCTCCCTACCCAGTCCCAACCATAAAGGAATGCTGGGTCAGATCTGGATTGTATTCTAGATATCTGAGTGTAAAATCCAGGGTGTGTGGTTTTTTTAAATTATTTATCATGCAAGTGAAATGCATCAATAACCAAATATTGAGACAATATCTCAAAGAAACTTAAGTTCTCATTTACAATGGCACAAAATATTTACTAATGTCTCAAAACGAGTCCTTGAAATATCTAGGGAATAAAAAGTTAATTAAGCATTTTAAACTTGAAATTTAGCCAAGCAATGTAAATAATAAATATTGTGCCTCTGGTTTAACAAAGACCCTTATTTATATAGAATATTAACTCCTCGAAATTAGTTCCACATCATTCAGATTCAAGTAACAGAGCACTGGGTAATTTTTTGTCTGCTACATTTTCCACAGAGACATGCTGTTGATGAATTTTGAGGGCATATGAAAGGCTCTAGACTTGGTGAGAGCCCTATCTGTATTATAATCAACTGAAGAGGAAGCAGAAGAACAAACTGAGAACTACACGGCTCATTTGTGTAAATCATACTGTATTATTTAAGTTTAACAAGGAGAGCAAAGAGATAAAATTGAATATAGTTACACAGAGATACTATCCATCTGGTATATCCTGCCTCCTGCCTGGAGAAGAGCTTTAGAAACAATGAAAAAAGCAAGACGTGATTAGAGTGCTAAGATATCCTCCTTTCTTTATAGATGAAGATTAAAGGACTAGCCATGAAGTTATGGTGTATGAATACTGGAAAAACAGTTTACAGCAAACTAGAAAAAGTAACAGTTGCAGTGTAGAAGAGAACTTGAAACTTAAGAATGGGAGACCATATAAAATAGTATAAACCAATTTCCCTTTGTGGTTCACATAAAGGGTTTGACATGTCTGTAGTGGCATGATAAATGGGACAGAATATGAGTGCTCTCCTAAAGAATAGCTCAAAAGCCTGAGGAATGAACCAGAAGAAAATACAGTTGATTCTGCATAAAAAGAACAAATATAATGAAGATTCATTGTTCATTATGTTGAACAACATTCTAAGAATGCTGCAGACGTTCAAGTGTAAATGCATTGATCACATGACAAGAAACCAGATGGAGAGTAATTCTAAAGTAGCTGCACTAGAAAAGGGATATTTGTTGGCACTTAGTAATATCTTTAAACAGCTGCTAATCACAGTATGATTTAACTAATGATGCTTAGTTTACAGTAAATTTACAAGACTATTGTCATTGACAGGAAATGATAACATTAACTAGTTTGCATCTAGAATGGGACATAATATTAATGCCATTTTCATTTTCAATGATGTTGGAACTCTGTAGCAGTTATGCCAAAAAGATTCCTAGAGCTAGGTAAGATTTATGTAATGCATAGAAAAAACATGTGCTGTAAAGTATGGGAATGATGGTGAATAAAGAAGCACAACTACTACATCAAAAGAAACTGATTTTGGCTATCATAGGTGGGAGTAAGTTTAATGGAGTAGATGAGAAAGAGAATTTCCTCTCTATCTCAGATGGATTTTTCAGAGAGGCCTGAAAGTCAAAGGGAATTGGGTGCATAACTCCCTTGGCCTCCTTCTGAATATATCAACCCTTCACCCAACTCATATATTCAAAATGTTACTGCTAATGTTGTCATTCTCCTATGGTTTCCACCAGATTACTCCCATCTCAAATATCTTCAGTAGCAAAATTAAGCTATTTTTCTAATAACAGTAATACAAAATCTGATTTATTTTTATTTACTTCTTGCTTCATGGTTGTAGTCCTAGACTACAGGGTTTTTTCGAAAAAACTTCCCCTGCACCAAGACTGCTGCCGTATTCTTTCAAAAGTAAATCGAAAGAATGTGGCAATTTTTTTGACTGCGGAAAACCTTGTTTTACTAGGAATAACACTTTTTTTTGAAAGTGCTCTTTCAAAAAAAGGTGCTATGTAAATGCAAACAGTGGTTTTTCGAAAGAGAGCATTCAGACTGCCTGGTTGCAGTCTAGATGCTCTTTTTCAAAAGAGGCTTTTTCGAAAGAGGCTTGTAGTCTAGACATAGCCTATGTCTCTGTACCTACAAAAATCACTATTAATTTTTAAATAATGTTTATATTACTGCAGTGTCCAGAGCCTAATTGCGGTTTAAGCATTGTAAAAATGCATATGAAGATCTGTCCCTACTTTGATTTGTCTT